CTCTAACAAAGTGTCCTTCAAAATAAAAAGCACATTCTCAAAAGAAGTTGTTTTTATTATGTGTGTTTTATTGATATCTGCTGTATGAGGAAAGTCTGAAAGACATACCTGGGAAATGCGTGTACTGATTACACTTGTCACATGGCTTCAAAGGAGCAGTAGTTCAAGCTGTCCACCCTCTACAAAATTTTAAGTGAAGTTTTTTACTTGTGTAGTAACATTATGCACTCGGCAAATAAGCTTTCTTTCAAACCACAGAGGTGAAGTCCCACAAGAGAATCTGCTTCATACAGTGAAACATGGAAATGATTTTCCAAAAAAATAATCACGGGGAAAGATAGTTTCTATTCTGAAATCATTCAGAATTAAGCCTTTCTATGGGTTAGGTGATGAGCACTCTCATTTATTGGTCAAGTATATTAAAATATATTAATTTCATCTTATTTTTCTCTTCATCATTATTTAGATAGGTTTATGTATTGTTGTTCATACATTTTCTTTAAAGCCATCATTTGTTTTATTTTCCAGATGTTTGCTATATAAAAAACAACTTGTAGACTGTTTACTACGCGGTTGGTTGTACAGGACATCAAACAAGAAAAAGGGTAAAAGTTTATTTTATTCTTTACTCCCTACAAACAGGGCCTGTGTTATTTCCCTAAATTACAAATCTGTGTCTTTACTTCATGATTATTTAAGCATTTGAACTTTCTTTGGGGAAAATGGCCATACGTACAAGTCCAAACCTATGCAAACAAGACAAACCCATAGACATATTGAAAAATTTACCTAGTATCTTCTGCTCTAGAAACTAACAGTTCCTCATTGCTACCTTCATATTTCTGTTTAGCTCATGCAAATAATTCAACATCTAAAGAGATAGCCATTAACAACTTTTGGTTAAGTCTGGTGGTTTCACCTTGCTGCGCAGCTATTCTCCACCACTAACTCTCTCTCACTCCCACTCCTCATAGAGAAAGGAAGAGAAAATATGATTGATCTGCTCCATGTGGGACCCATGGGCTGCAGGGGGACAGCCTGCTCCACCAAGGGCCTCTCCACAGGCCACAGGAGAACTTTAGTTCCGGTGCTTGGAGCACCTCTTGCCCTCCTTCTTCAATGACCTTGGTGTCTGCTGTTTCTTACTCCTCTCTCTCCCATCTGCTGTTGCACAGCTCTTTTTTCCTTTTCTTAAAGTTGCTCTCTCAGCGGGCTTATTGGCTCGGCCCTGGACAGCAGCAGGTCTCTTTGAAGCCAAATGAATCTGGCCCTTATGGAGCAGCTTCTGGACTCCTCAGACTGGCCACTCCTGTAGGTTCCTGCTACCAAAATTTTGCCACATAATCCCAACACACCAATATTATCTGTATTTAAAGCATTCCATGGTTTTCTTTGGTTCCCTTTAGCTTTTAGTAATCTCTCTCTCCATTTCATGTAAGTGTAGCTCCTTTTTATTTTTTTTATTTTTTTATTTTTCCAGAATAAAATATATTATGGTAGTGTGTATCTGTTAAAAAGCTATAGCAATGCCCAGGTGTTGGGGCCAAGTCAACAGGATGATGAGCTTAGACACTAAAAATTATTGTGGAAAAACATACTTGAGGCCTACTACGTTCCTCTTGACTGTGTCTAAACACTATCTGAAAATTGCCTCCTGCTTGTATAAGCTGGTAATGACACTTCCTTTGTCAGGAAGTGACCTTATACAACTTCCTCCCATGTGTTTTTTCATTTCATAAGTGCATTTTTTCACTTCACTGAAACCTATAAGAAGCCTAAGTGATTTTCTTTTTTTCTTTTTTGTTCCCTTCCAAGGTAATTTCTGGAAGATTCAGAGTAGTCAAACACAGCTGAGGATAATTCTCTGTCTAAACAGATCCACAATTTTAGTCTGTTTTGTTTGTTTGTTTGTTTGTTTGTTTTTCTTTTTTTAAATCATGATCATTCTTGACTTTGCCACTAGATAAGATGGAAGTAGACATTTAGTGTCAAATGTATGACTTCGTCTGAGATGACCAAGCCTTCATGATGCTAAATCTACATGGATGAGATATACTGTTTTTCAATAATGGCTTCACAGATCATTCAGAAGGTTTTTGGTATTTGTAAAGAACTTCTGGGCACTTCATATCATTTGTATGGTACATCCCAACTCTTGCAGATCCACATAGCAAGCTTCCTGGAAGCACTTGTCCACTGTTTGTAAAAAGCCATGATCTATTCTGTTTGCAAGTTGCTTTCTGTAAAATAAGAATCTTCAACAGTAACCTCCAAAATAAATATTTTCAGAAACACTTCAGTGTGTTTACATGGAATATGTGAATGCAGAAGACTGTTTTCATTTAGCAGCCACCACCACAGATTTAAGCAGGGCAATGAAGTTCATTACAAGTCAGTATGTTCAGTGTTAACATGTCTATAGCAACTTCAGCTAGGAAGCAGCTTGATAATAAAGTTTTATTTCTAAGCTCCCTTGACTGGAATTCCATTTAAAGATTGTGTTTTATTATATCTAATTCTTGTCAACTCTCCTGCCATTCCTGCTCTCATACAAAAAGGAGAATGACAGCTTTGCAAATAACAAATGACTAGAACTAGACTTTTACTGAATATTTTAAATACAAAGTGGTAATAAATACTTGTATTTCTTATAGAACTCTGCTGAAAACATAATTACATTGGGAAGGCTTAGTCAATACAAAGACTTCCTCTACTGTAAATCAAGAAGCCTTCTCCTTTTGATAACACTGTAGCATGGGGACAGTGTTATGTATGTGGCTCTTGCTTTCTAGAAGTCAGTTGAGTGTACAAAGAAGAATTAAGCAAGTTAAAACAGGATGAAAAAATGTAGACCGTGTTAACTCTGTGACACATGTGATGGCCTAAAAGGGTTAATGAAATCCATGAAGCTTCTAGGCTTCCTGCAGTCACGTAGTAGCAGTCTGTTAATATTTTATTAACTGATCTTTGCAATGTGTGTGCAGAGTTTTGGGTCATATAAAATGTTAGGCCAGTCACTACAACTTGATAAGGAAAATGTGTAAATCTATGGTCTTTCTGGGGACATTTTTGCATGCAGTTTCTTTGTAAATGCCACAAGTATATTTTTGTTTCTTTTTAATAGTTTTGAGCTTTTCTTCTCGTGTGTCCAGATACAGCTGCTAGGAAGATTCACTTTCACAACTGTCTTAAAACACTTGCAATCACACTGCAAAGGTACTTAATCATGAGGCACCAAATCATTTGGTGGGGTTTAGCTGCATTGTTCCTTCTAATAGGTACATTCACATCAATGCATAAATTCAGAAATAACACCTCTCTTTACACTTCCTGTAAATGTCGGTAATTATTTTTTTCCCCAGAAAGAAAAAAATAATTGAACAAAAATATCCCAGATGCATGGACAGAAGGCAATACCCATACATGTAAGTCAGCATCAGACAGGCATGTGTTAACAGAGGGATTTGGCATGAGCTGGAAGGAAGCAGAGTTGTGCTGCCTATTCAACTAGAAAAGGTATGTGAGGAAAATAAACTGCTAATCTCAACATGAATGCAAAGTATATGAAGGGCTGGGGAGTGCATTTAGTGATAACTTGGTTGGTATAGGTGAGGAAATGATAATGCAAGCTTCAAAGTAAATTGGATGGGCTTGTCAAAGCCAAACCAGACCAAATGTTGCCATGGTTATTGAATCACCCAAATAAAGAGAACACTGTTCACTCTAAAGTACAAAGGCTCAGGATGTCTTTGTGGTCCCTCACAGGAGCTGTGGGTAGAGATGAACATTCAGATTTGCTGCCTGCTATTATTAGGGAATGCAAATCAGACAGCAAAAATGAAAGTAGAGGGGTGACAAAGTACCTTAGGAATGACCTTTCTTGGTTGTTTCCTAAAAAGTTCTCCTGGGATTTCAGGCTGATTAATTTATCATTGTCTATTCTGCATAATGGCTTCAGATTTTATTGATCTTCAGTTATTTTTCAATATTATGTGCTTCATTAGTCTACGCAGCCAATGTACAGAGCCACAGGCCCATAAATAAGCCTCAAGGGCCAATGCAAACCTATATGCATGGTGAAGAATCTGTACTTTGTTTATTAACAACAGACAATGTCCAGTGTACTCAGTTTTAATACATCTGTGGAAAGATTTTGATGGATTATTGCACAGAGTAAAATTGTATAGGGTACATTTATTATGTTTGTTTTTGTTTTTTTTTTTAAAAGTTTTTTTTTTCTTCCATATTTTAAATAATAAGCTTCAGTGCTATTTTGAATTAAGGAAATGATTTTTCTGTGTGTTACAGCTACAGACATGGCTTTAATCAGAATCCTTACACTACTACTAATGAATCTGGAGTTGAGAGAGAGAAAAAAAAAATGAGGGGGGGGGAGGGTGGTGAAAGTGAGAGGGGGAGAGGGAGAGGGAGAGATGGAGGAAGGGAGGGAGGATGGGAGGCAGAGAGGAAGAGAGGGAGAGAAGGAGAGAGGAAAGAAAACCAATACCATGATCTGGAAAGTTTCTGGCTCTGGGGGGAAAAATAGTGCCTATGAAGATGAGGAGCCAGATTGAACGATTTAGTGGCAAGAGAAGCAAGGGCAAAGAAAGTTACATTAAAACAGAGATGCAGTCTCTGGTGGGTCATTTGAATTTCATCTGCAGAGTAATTTTCATGCCATTTAGCCATAGCCATAGCAGGAGTAAAGAAGACTAAACACATTAAAATGACAAAATCATACAAGGGGGGATTGCGGCACGTGGTCATTATGTTTGATAAAATTCAATGATATGGAAGGCTGAGTTAGTGCCATACCAAGGACTTTGAGTATTTACAGAAAAATGTAGTATGCAACAGGAGAAAGGTCTGTAGCATGCTCATTCAGCGTTCATGGTATATTGAGAATCCATTGGGCATGAAAGTGAAAGGATTTCTGGCCTCAGAAAAAAATAAAAATAAAAAAAAAATACAAGCAACAGCAAAACATTCCAACCTGTTAATGAGATTTGCAGTTGACCTTTATTACAGTGGCTCTATTTATTTCAGATCCTTTAAAGAAACATAGGATATTTTGTATGATTAATGATGTGCTGCAGGATCCATTAACAATTAATTAGTGGATTTAAGGCTTCAGAAAATAGGCTTTTATCTAAAGTTTTCATCTCCCTTGAAATCTCGGAAAATAAGCCTCTGACATGTAACCAACTAGCTAATGTAGGCAAAGAAATGATAAGAGGCTTTCTTTCAGATAACAGTGTTCAGATTAAAAAGAAATGCAATAGGAAAACTTGGCCTGCAGTAGGCTGTATCCGTTTCCCTAGGTCAAATAGACTTCATATTCCACAGCAGGATTAAACCAAGATTAGAGCAGATGGTAAAATCACTTTTTGCCCTCCCTTGGGTTTTCTAGCATTTAAGAGCAGCGTTAAATTTGAGGTCATGTTATGCATGACACGCTGCTGGTGTTTGCTGTTACAGGACACTTTGAATAACTTCCCTTCCCAACAAGATAAGCAACTTCACAGCTCAGCAGAAGTTGAATCCTGGACACTGGCCTGGGCTCGAGCAGGAGGAGTCCTGGGCTAGGGCTGCTGGTCAAGGTGACTGCTCTTAGTATCCCTTAAGAATGAAGAATTAGTCTACCATCTAGCAGTGAAAATATTTAATAAACTCAAGAGGGGCAGGGTGTGGGAGGGGGAACGGACACAGGATGGGACAGAGGGAGCACTACAGTATGTGTTCTTTTGTTTGACTTTACTGTAAAATTTTACTAGGACATAATTCCCAATTCATATACATCAGTAGTAGCATTTTTCTAGAATAAGTATGTACAATTCAGTTATCTTATTTTTATCCACATGTATGTTCAAGCTGTTACTTTATGAGGCAATGTGATCCGCTATTGCATACAGGCAGTCATATGTGAAAATATGTTGTTTTTTATTGTATTGATGCTTGGAAATCACATTTTGGATTATGCAGATCAAAGTTCATTTTATCTTGCCTTAACAGTTAGTGAATATGATGCAGAAAAAAATAAAATAATAGATTTATAGAATTCAAACTTGGAAAGGACTATTATGATTATCTCATTTAACATTTTATACATAGGCCAAAGTTTGTACAGCAAAATGTATATGAAGCCCATATAATAATGCTTACTCAAACAAATGTCACCTAAGGAAAATCTCTCTGTGGTTTAAATGCTTCAAGCAATAGAAAGAGTCCATCAAATCCATTGTAATGTTTTTGCCATGACTAATTATATTCACTGGGAAAAATGACCACCTTATTTCTGATTTGAGTATATAAATATGCAACTTCTAAGTATTCCCTGTTTTATTTCTGCTAGAAAAAAAAAATACAGTTTGTTATCATACTGATTACATACAAAATTTTGAAACAATTAAATGCAGAATTCTCTAGGTATGTGGTCAATGATGTCAGGCAAAATGAAAAATATATATATATATTTTTTCCAAACAATATATACATGACTATCACTTGATACAATGAGCTACACAGTAACCCAACATCTGAATCAACAAATCTATCCATCACTTAGGTGTGCACTCAGTTTGTAAAGTGATCATCAAAACCAGCTTTGATTTTTCTTGAGAACTGATTCTCAGCTTCCTTATGTAAGTATATTTATGAGATGTAAATGTAGAAAATAATTATATTTGTGTTTCTCACTCATAGAAGAAGGATGCTTACTTTTCCCCTGTCCCCAGCCTCTGGACTCTTTGTAGGTGTGTACATGCTACACACAAGCAACTTGTAGGATCAGACACAAATGCCAGTGCAATTGCTTTGGTTACTTTCAGAAACTTATTGAAGTGAAAGAAATTAAGTATTTTAAAGGCAAAGATAAATTTATATGCCAGTTGTTTCATTTGATGATTACTTTATACATTTATGAGTGACTTATGTACGATACAACAAGTAACCACTAAAGGTAGTGACTGGTGGATACTTGGCTGGTATAGAGCCAGCTGCCAGTCTGAGCCAGACTTCTTGACCATAATTTAATTCTAATAAGGCATTTCCAGTAATTACTCTGTCAGTGTACTTGTTGCTGTTAATATTTTCAGCCTGAAAACTAAGTTTGTCTATTCCATCAATGACCAGATAGCCAGAGGCACGGGGACTAAATGATTCAATGGTATATTCAAAAACATACACCCCAAGATATGGAACATGGAACTTCCCACTTGTGGGGGCAAATGAAGCTCCGTAGTTGACATCCAGATTATTAAATCTGATGGGTCCTGGAGTCGTCATCCCATATGTATGAGAGGCAAAAAAAGCCACCATAGGTGCATATCTGTATGATCCCTTTGAAAAATCTGGAAAGGAATAAAGAACAATTTCAAGTAATATCCATGGCATTTCCCTCTCATTCTTCCTGTTATATTGTAGACTTGGATTAGTAAGAAGATCAGAAAAAGCTTTTCTGAAGTCACATAATTGAGTAATTTGAGCAACTAAAACAGTATTTCTACATGAGCACACAGTTTTTCCATATTGTATAAAAAAGCATTTTTCTTCAGAATTAGTGCTAGGTGTATCCACAAAAGAAGAAATTTAGAAAAAAGCAAGGTAACTGTGATGGACTATGCTAAGTTAACATGAAGAGAGGTGCTATTTTTCTTTTCTTTCTTCTTTTCCCCTCTCTACCCCCACCCCATGATATCTTTCATTGTTCATCTGCGTGTGCTGAAGCCAAGAATTTTCTCCACAAATCTTAGACAAATAGTGGAGAGGTTTAGTCCTCCTGACGTTAAATGAGGGAGTAAAAGTATATGTGTTTCTCTTCCAGCTGAGCATGCACACTGTGATTCCCTGCCACTGTAAAAATGATTTTATTCACTATTCATATGCTGTCATGAATGAGAATCAGCCAAACAGCTGCTGAAAGCTGCATTAAATTCTCATTCCATGCAGCCTGGATGTAAATTATTTATTTGTTTTCTGGGCTGAATAAGCACAGTTTGCACTTTTCTTCTTTGAAATATCTTTCAAGGGATGTATGGTTTGCTACTGAAAATCAGAGGTATGCCTAAAATGACTCCTCCAGGCTATAGTCCCATATATTATGATAGCTAGTGGTATTTATAGGGCATTTCATGCAGTGTTGAAGCTAGTATTCCCAAGTGATGTGATTTCACCTCCCCCCTTGAATTCCATGATGTCATGTTCAGCTACATCTATTGCATTCCCTCCTTCAGCAGCCTTCTGCACAAGTCAGCAGGGAGCTTTCCAGCTATTATGGCTGGTCCCAACCCAATTTAATCCTATTGTCTGGTCATATTAAAGAAAGAGATCGAGAGTCACCCACAGGAATTGATGTCTTCAGCACCAAAACACAGGACATTACTTCTTCAGTTGGTACTCATTAAAGTGAAATGTGAGACCTTTGACCAGCAAATGCTCTCTAATTAGACCTTGGGGCAAATGCCCGTGCTGCTAGCATATTGCACTACTAAATTTTTTACTTGCCAACACTCAGAGAATTGTCGTCCACCAGCTTCGTACTGCAGTTGACTCCTCCAAAGGGGTGGCGACAAGCACAAATAAAATTCTCTCTGTCATTGATACAGGTTCCTCCATTCTGGCATGGGGAGCTGACACAAGCTGAATACTGCCCTGTGATAGAGAGGGAGAAAAACCAACAACCTTAAGTTTCAATGGCATGTACACACCCAAACAGTCATTACAGTGACATTGCCCAAATTTTCAATATTTTGGATTTTGGATGGTCTTTTCATCAATTCATAAAGCTGGTGTCATTTCTGCTGAGGTTCTGTGTGAAGGCTAACTTCAGATCCTGTCCAGGTTGTTCAGCATCTCTGCTAATTCAGCCTGCCTCTTTCCCTGAACATAGCATATCCTGAGCTGGTCTCCAAATTATTCAGAAATACCTATAAAAGCTTAGTTCTGCTTGTCTCTGGGGGTCAGATACATGTAATAAGATGAAAGATATTATAAATCTACCTTTTTTGGAGCATCTTGCTTGCCACACATGAGAAGTATTAAAAGACTGAGATATCTGAACAGCTGTGATTGCATAGTCCAAGAGAGTCCTGTCAAGAAATAGCAACCTTTCCTTGCTCATTTCTCCCCATTCCTTCCTCCTTAAATTTAATGACCTCCCTCCTCGTAATAAAAGTTTAAAGCCAGCAAAGCCTGGTTACAGCCAAGCATTAGGAAATGTTCCTTCTGCTGTTCCTGACACGAGTCCTTCTATAACAATTTAAGGCGGGGTGGACCTACAGATGGTCCTTGGGACAGGTTCAATCTGGAAGATACTCATTCCCATAATGAGGTGAAGGTGCTGAGAATCCACCCCTTCTGGCACAGAGACCTGCAGTCTGTCCAGCATCAACTGGCAGTTGACTTTCTCTGCTGACTATCACACAGCTGGCTCAGTCCTCATCCTCTCTTACTGTATTGTAGCTCTTAGACACTGCAACAAAACAAGACACAGTGAAAATCAGGCAGTCTGTGATCATGTGATTAAAGAAGTAGGCTGGATAAGCTTATTAATGGGAATGTGCTGAGAGGTTTGGAGCTGACTGCAGGAGCCCCTCAGAAACAAACAGCAAAACTTGGAGAGGCAATGCTGACATATCCAATTTTATTTCCTTCTTTTGGTAAGACAAATGAAATGATTTTTTTTTCTGTTGCTTCAAGCAAATCTGTGTCTTGATTTGGTTTAACTAATGCAAGCACAGAAAGTTGTTCTCAAAGGGCATATTCAATTCATTGTTGGGTGTAGCAAAACACAGATTTTGTACTTCTGGTGTTGAGGATAGGCTGTCCTGTCTATGACATTATTCATCCAAATGTGTCACAACCACTGGGGGTGAGCCAGCTACTAGAGATGAAAGATCTTAAAAGCTATCTAAACCACTTCCAGTACTGGTTCTTTGTCCATAAATAAACTCAGTTCCAGAATATCCACCAAAATTGCTGTAAAAAAAAAATTATATTTCAAGCAATAAAAATTATTGATGATTTTGCAGAGCATCTTCACTGAGGATGTCCTGGCCAAATCATGCTCAACCGATATGGAGAAATCTGTAATTCCAGTGCTTCTGAGCTCAGAGGCATAATTACTGAGTGCAATTATATAATGTTTTGTCATAGCCGTTTGGAGGAACAACATTCAAGCTATGTTAAAAATTAAACATCACTATGAAAAATTTGAAACACAAAGTATTCCCAAACTATACATATTTTTTTTCTTTTGCTTTGGTCAAATAAAAGTCGGATGTTTTAGAAAATGAAACTTTTCTTTGCCAGTAACTACCAGTAGAGCTGTGGAAAGAGAACTCCATATAGTCCTGTGATAAATCTAGATTGGTAGGTAGGAACTGAAAAAGCCTTTCGTGAAAGAGTTTACTTATTGCCAAGGAAGTATTAAACTGGATCTTCACATAGGTATTCCAGTAATTCCCACAGTTAGCTAAGATTCCTATCGGACTATTTCACAGACTGCTGCATTAAGGCAACTAAATTCCACAGGAAATTTTAGTTCAGAGAGTAGAATGCTAAAGCATACTGTACTGTGCCACTTGAACTTGCACTGATGAACCATATAGACCTAAAAACACAACAGTAATTTTTTTCACAGAAAATGGTGTTCACCCTATAATGCCTAAAATAAAGGAACTCAGTAATTCATGATGGAGGTCACAGCACAGGCAACTGGACACGAGGAAATTATGCTTTTCTTCCTAGATTATAGTTTTGCTGCAAATTTAATTGAAGTTATTTTTCACTCATATTTGCCAAGTGTCCACAACGGTTTAGAAGTTGTGTTAAAGGAAAGCAGAAAAAGGAAGGAAAACAGCTGATTGTGTCGACTGTATCATATTCCCAAAATACCATAGAATGTTTTGTGTAGAAACACAGCACATTCTCTGCTAATTGTCCTCTGCTTATCATAAGCAAGTATACCCAAGAAACAGGAAAAAGATCACACGAAAGGAAATGATAATGAGATTGAGACCAGTGTTTTAGCAGTCTGCAGAGGGATGATTTTGCCTGAATTTAACCTTGGAGTTAAACCAAATTCAGACATAGCTTTACTTTTGTAAATTAACCCTCATGGAGCAGCATTGCTGGGTTTTGCTTTACTTTCTACAAGCTAGGAGAATCTGTGAAGACTAGAGTCAAATAAGGAGGTTTAGAGTAAGAGGCCAATGCCCTAGACCTCCAAGGAATAAACAATCTATGTGTAACATCTGTGTGTTTTACAACAGCATATTTTTGCTGTCACTTCTGGCTGATGCTGCTCATCTCCCCTGCATTTTCTTTTTGTTCCTTGCTGAAGGGCATTCTGGAACACTGTGTCCATGTGACAGATACTCTAGTTGGGGTAAAGATGCCAAAAGTTTCAGATTAGGAAAAGATTTCTTACTATTGTACACATCCTATTTTTAATTAATCTTTCACAGTTTAGTAGTGTAGATGAGGAAGAAGAAACACTTTAGAAAATGGATGAAAAACTTTAATTGCAGCTATGAATAGTGGAGAACAAATGAAATGCAGTTGTTATTTACGCTTAGAACAGTAAGAGTGGAGATAGCGTATTAATGCCAAGTTTTTCTACTCTTTGGGAGGGCAAGCAGCCAGAAACTCTTTTGGGAAATAGGCTGCCAATGCTGTACAAACAACTCTTCAAACAAATAATGAAGATTTGTCAGTATCTACTGCAGCATTATTTAGAAGTAAATGAAATATTTAGCAATCTAATAGTCTCCCTATGGAAAGAAGTGACTCCAGTGGTTCAGTTTGGAAGTGTCTGAACAAGAAATGACTTTCCAGTGTTTTCTCAATATTTGGTTATCTGTAGCTATCTCTGTGGAAGCCTTAAGAGATTGGAAATCTGAGAGCGGAAAAAGCAGTGAGCATCCTCAGTAGCCAGGATGCAAGGAGTGACATGGGGCTGCAGGTGAGGGGCTGCCCACCAGGGCAGACAGGCACGAGAAGAAGGTGACAGCAGAGCTAGAGCATTACCTGGAGAGGTGACGAGCAGAGTGAGGCAGGTCCATCACATCAGCAGGGATCAGCCACAGCCCAGCATGACTCACAAAAGACCAGATCATGAATCCTGGCCTGAGCTGGACTGGGGCTCTCAGTCATATGGGCAGGGGGTGCAATGTGAGGGATAGGTCAGGCTGCCTGGGGCAATGCAGGCTATTGGTGCCCTCAGGGCCTTGGTAGGGAATTTGGGTGCAAGTGCTCTATGAAGTTACAAGTTATCCAAGTTACAAAAAGGCACACTCACCACACAGTGATCTTGGACAAAAAGTGAGGACGACAGGAGGCCTTTTCATCACTGCAGCTGTTCTCCCCAGCTTTAGGTGGAGGCAGTTTGTCAAACTTGACCTGAACTACTTAGACTCTGGCAACTCTGTTGAGGTGCTTCTTTGTTAAACAGAGATATCTAACACTTCAACCATGATGTTTTTCAGGTTTACTAAATTAAATACAACAAAGAAATTTCATCCACCTGTTAGTCTGAAGTGTAATTATGCAAAATGGAGGTGTGTGCCATCAAACTGAACTAGAATAATCATCAAACTAGTGGATCACAGGAACACAGGATCAAAATATTTAATTTGTTTAAATTCACTGCAGGATTTAATGAAAGAGTGGCAATGGAGGCTTGCATTTATGTCAGGAGTCAGAAATCATGAGAAACTAAAATCTGACAGAAAAAAAAATAAAAATGATTTCCACATATACAACTGCAAACACTCTGACTTAGCCCTCAGTTTCAGTGTGTAGTTCCTGCTGAAACAAACAAATGGGAGCTTGGATTAAAACTAAAAGGATAGAATGTAGCCTATTGAAAGTTAGGAGCATTGACCATCGTTTCAGTACAGGGAATTGTCTTGCTTTGCTGAGTTTTTGACAGAAGCAAGAAGATAGGAGATAAAATGTAACTATTATTGAAATCTTAAATACACTTTAACTCCTTTGGTACTTCATTCTCCAGTGTACTGAGAACACTGATTTTTGTCATTCCCATGTGAGTATACTAAGATACGTAAGATGAGTGTACTAAGATGAGCGTATTAAGATGTACTAAGAGTGTACTAAGATCTGGAGTGAGATCAAAAGAAGATGAAGAATTAAATGACCTTTATCTTACAATGATGCACTGTTTTAAATACATAAATATAACACAGTTGCACTCTCAGTTATTCATGGTGATGGGAGGGCAGAATAATCTGAATAAGGCATAGCCACAACTAACACAAGACATGCCCCAAGAGTGCATTCAACTTTGAAAACTGTGACAGCCTCTAGGTTCTCTAGAGAACAAAACCAACACTAAATGGCAATGGGAAAATTGGAACTTAGCTAAGCTGCCCTTGCTCTGCATCGTGCATTTTTGCAGTAGAACAGTGTACTGGAGGGTAGGACCAGACATAATCCATAACCAAGGCTAATGAAGAGTTTATTACTTTTTTTTCTTTAAAGGATGTCTTTGCCCCTTTGTTAGATACTTGAAAGTATCTTAAGATCCTAATTGCTTTTTTATCCACTCCACATAGCTATTAAGTTATTATCAGGTGAGAGAGATATTCTGTATTCCTCACACATATTCCACCTTCTAGCTGAAAAAAAAAAAAAAAAAAGATTTTCTTTTGTTCAATCCACAACTTGAGAAGTCCTCAAACTTGCATGTACCTGCATACATAGTGGAAACTCACAATGTTTCTCCTTGACATCAAATGATTGTTGTGGAAAGTGTTACCTCAGGGCCAAATCCTGAACACATTAAAGCCAATGAAAAATTTCAGTCTGTTAGAGTAGAATAGAATATTGAACATGTTAGAATCAATGAGAATTGATATTCACCTTATTACTGTTTATAGAATATGATTTGTGGATTAAAATGATGGTCTAAGAGCTAATGCATTTTATAATTAGCTGATTGTACCTTAGGATTTCTTCTAGAAACTTTAGTAGGGCCAGCACATATCTCTGGATGGTCTCATGGAACTTAGAGAGAAAAAGCTTTCCTGGAGAAGTAAAATCTACTGATGTAGAAGATGGATATTTGTTAATTAAGACAATGGTCTGACTTCTTTAACTTATGGAAATGTAATGTATGACTTTGCTAGGCAACAAACTTCATTGAGTGCAAAATTTCATTACTGCTGGAAAACTGCATAAACACTGCTACTTAAAGACCTTGCTTAAAAATACGGCTTTGTTATGTCTGCAATGATCTGCACTTTTTGTAAGTGCGAGCACATAGTTAATGTTATCAAGTAAGCTATTTAATAAATATGGCATGAGATAAATAATAAATAGGAAAGACATTAATTCACTAATGCAGGTGGCAACTTTGCGTGCTCCAGGCAGGTGGCACTGGTGACAGTTTCCAAAACAGTAGAAGACTCAGGAGGGATCAAAGACATCAGATCTCATTTTCACCTAGTTTTAATTGTGATCAAGGGTTTTGAATTTCCATCCCGTGCAGTGGTGAGAACAGGCAGAAAACAGAAATGACCGAGAAAGAATTGCTGTTTCAATATGTTAAAATAAATTATTTTCTTTGTAGCAAGTGCATTTTTAAGTGTGACTGCTTGTTGGAATAGCTGTGTGTTCCCTCTAATTGAAGTGTGTTAAGTCCTTCAGTGGGAATGGAGTTCATCATGAGTCAGATACTTGTGGGATTAGAGCTTTAATGCGCATCCTTTCCATTGATTACTGAAAAGTGCTGTATATAGGACAGGAGGAAAAAAGGAGGGATGGAGGGCAAGACTGCACCATAGCAATAGCCATAGCCCTTTCTACCACTACATCTGCTTACAACAGGGACGAAATATGCTTTCAGAAATGTTCATACATTTATGAATGCTGTATAGAAAAGATTTAAGTCTTGACATTCAAAAGTATCTGGACATTCACGTGTCATTTAGGAGTCTGTCTCGCTTGTTTTAATGTGAATTAGTCTCCTCTAGGATTTTTTTTTCCAGAAACTATATTTCCATAAAACATCAGCTTGTGCTATCGATTTTCACTCAGATATGATGCCAAAAGGCATAACTTTTGTATTTCTATGAATTCATCCATATAAATTAATTTCATGTGATGATGTTTGAATTTAAGTAAGGAAGCCAATCATATTCAAAATGTCCTTTTTAAGAATGGCAGCTTCTACTCAGTTGAGCCATTCTCTAGATGAATTCAAGAGTCAAACACACTTTATTAGCTGGACTACTGATTCTGCAAGAACACTGTTATTATTGTAACTTATCTTAATGAATTCAAGTAGGAGATGGCAAAAGCTTCTTTGCAATCATTTGGTGTATTCATTTGCTTAGGTATTTAATACCTTTCATCCCCATTGATGCTGCAAAGGACTGATGCAATAGATAGATATCTCTCCCAAGTTTCACATTTCTACTGAAATTGCTAATTGAGATGCAGGCACAAAATTATTGTAGTTTAGATTTTCTCTAAATTGATGGTTAGGTTTGAAAGGTCAGGTCCTCAGCTGAGTGTGTGCATACACATATATCTTAAACTGATTAGATGTGAATTTATTAAGGAAAATTACATGGAGCTTCTGGGATGTCTTATTGCAAAGTCTCCTCATAAGAAAAATAAACCTTCTTGGAAGAGTAACCTCAAGTTCCTCCAAAACACTATGGCATTCTCTGAGTTTTTATTCTCCTTCTCCTTAAGTTATTATGACACCTGTTAAGACTACTCTCTGACTCAGTTCATCTCACCAATTACATAACACCCGTTATTACAAAAATTTTTCCTAAACTAAAACACATTACCTGAATCTATAGTATTATCTGTGTTCCTCTGACTTCGGCTTGCCAGGCTCATGGTGAAGTTTGTTGTCCCTTTTTTCACTGGAGCTGGTTTCTTTATTGTTGGTTTCACTTGCTTCTGAAGCTTGGTGATGTTGTTCATTGCACTTGCCACCAGTATGTCAACATGCTCAGTTAAATTCATCAGGATACTCCCTGCTTTTATTTCAAGCACAGATTCAATGAGCTCTTTGAGGCCTCTTTGCAGTAAGGGAATATCTGGCTGTGCAAGTTTAATTAGCACAGGTATACTTGCATTCACTTTTTGGATGCTGCTGTTGGCATCCTGACACAGCCCCCAGGCTTCATGAGCAGTCCTGTTCAGAAGTGGAATGTTGTTTGAGAATCGGATCGACTTGGCTTCCAGAGCTTTAATCCTGGAATTCAGTGCCTGGAGCTGAAGTGAGATCATTTGTTCTTTCTCTGTTGAGGCAGCCTTGTTTTTCTTCAGTGAGACACAGTTATTTGCCAAAAACTTAGAAATTTTTGACTCCACACCCAGGAGGCGAACCTCATGGTCCCTAGATTCCTCCACAGAGTCAAATATTTTTTCTTCCAGTCGGGTGATTTCTTTTTGTTGACTGTCCACTTTTGATGATGTTTCATTTAAAATATAGTAAAGTCTTCTGAAATTGTGGAGCATAATTTTGTCAGACTCTACATAAGGAAGATCAGAAATGGATGTAACTACTTGTGAAGTGAATTCCTGTTTCTTGCCAGTAAGCAATGTCCAGAGGGTTTCATTCAACTGTTGGAACTGGGAAATTAGAGCCAGCAGGCTGTCCAGCTTCTCCGCTCTGCTACAGCAGACCTCAGTCTCATTTTTCAGGGCATGTAGCGTATGTTTAAGTACATAGTTATCTTGAATAGAATCAATAGCACTGTTTATTACTGTCATGGTCTTGTTTAATCCATCCTCTATTTCCATAGAGCATTCATTAATACGACTGTCAAAGAGTTCCTGATAAGCCTGAGATTCATTTTTAAGTCCTTCCTGAGTTTTAGAAAGTCCCTTGATTGTAGAACTCATTCTGTTAATGACAGTTGTGAGGTTTTCAAGCTTTTCATTGATTGCTTCAGCTTGAATTTGGTGTTCATACTCTGAAGTCAGACTAAAAGGTGCCCCTTGTTCAATCAAGGGTTGCAGGATCTCCATGTCATAGCACAAATCATTAATTTGCTCATTCATTTTATCAATCTTACTGTCCAATGGAAGGACCATATCAGAGAGACTTCTGTTTAGGATAAGCACGTTCTCTTGGGTTGCTGCCAGCTGCATTTGGAAATCCTTTCTGCTCTCTGACAACATGTCATCACAGACTCCCAGAACAGAATCTCTCTGAATTTCCAGTTCAACACTGAGATTGCTGATTTTGCTGTCCTGGATTCTTAAGTCATCGTAAATCTGCAGCACCATCAGGCCCTGTTTCTTTACTTTCTCATTCAGTGTGAACATGTACTCTGTAATGTTGTACTCTGTGACTTGATCTGTTGAAGGGATGTTTTGATTTGAAGACTGTTCAGCTGATAAAAGTTGTTCATGAGCGTCTTTCATTTCAGTAAGGGTCCTATTTAAAGATTCAAAATAAATGACACTTCTTGACTGTTGATGTTCCAAGTTCTCTTCCAAGGATTTCTGCTTTTTCTGTAAAGCTTTCACAGGCTTGTCACAAGTTAGGGTCATTTCCTCTTTCATCTGCACCATATGACTTTTTAGCTCCAGAATGTCAAGCTTTGTTGGCCCACTCTCTTTCTCTTGAGCAAATTTTTGTTGGGTTTCATTCAGATGTTTGACTAATTCTTTTGTATTTTCAAGATCTTCTGATAAACTAGACACAGTCTTGAAAATTTGAGCAATGCTCTCTTGCATTTCTCTTCGAAATCCTTCTAACTGTTCTCTGACAATGTCTTTGACTAACATATTAATACTCTTGGATTTGAGACCTTTGGGAAAAAGGATAAATATGCAAACAATCAAATCAATAGTCAGAAATATTTATTTATATTTTTTTCTCTCCACAATGTGAGCACAGTGCTATAAGGAAGTGAAATGCCCACTTTGGTTACCCACCCACAGAGGAAAATGTGCAGCTGAGGAACACAGAAGATGGCTACTTGTATGAAGTCTCATCCCTGCTTTTAATGAAATCAGAGGGAAATTTGCTATTATTTTGAAAATGCAAACTCATCTGCTGCATATATAGTTTCAGTTTTGATTGCCTAGATAAGCTGTCTCTGAGCACTGAAATTAGGAGAGTTGTATGCTTTTGTGGCTTGCTCAGAAGAAAACAAGGTGTCCTTTCTCCATTTGGAATGTAAGAAAAAAAATGGCTTTAACAACATTACGGTCAAGAAGAAGTAATAGCAGAGATTATTATTACCTTCCTATTCTATCATGTATGATAAGTGATCATATGGCACACTATAGTGAGAAAGAAGAAAATAAAAGTAATAGCCTTATTACATATCTAAAATTAAGGTATGATAAAAATGTTGCAAAAGACAGACTTTTAAGGTACACATTTTAAGTTAGTCTTGAATACTATAACTTCTTTAATAGCTCCTAGGAATACTGATCCTGAAAAGCAATGGTTAAAGGTAATTATGTGGGAATTCTGCTCCTGTGTAAAATATCAAAATATGAATCCTGTATAGCCTTAAGTGGGTAAAAGCAGTCATAAAATACTGTCCATCAAGACTGCTGCATAAAAATATTGAATTAATTAGAGCAATAATTCTGCTCCATTATGAGATTAGAAGGACTTTTTCTTTTTTCTTTTTTTTTTTTTCTTTTTCTTTTTTTCTCCAAAGGTAGCCCCTGTGTCCAGTTAAAGCACTGAAACATTCTTTGCACAAACACCAATGACCCTGTAGCCAGCTTGCCATATAATGATTATACTCTTCAAGCTCTACAATACCTTGATGACTATCAGTTTTCAGATTAAAAATTATTGATAAAGATAGAAACACTTCCTTTGCCTTTCTCTGTTTTCCTCTAAATTACTTCTATAGCCTGGAATGCTATATCCAGTCTGAGGGCTGGAGCCTTCACCTCTAAAACAGCAAGGCAAACTCTGAAACCTTATTTGAAAATACATTCTCAGCAAGAGCAATATAAGTGGCAGGAAATCAGACCCATAAAACATAAGGACAATAAATGCCAATACAGCTCTGGGCCCCAAGGGTGCAAAAGAAAGTCCCAATAAAAATGGTTTTGTTCAGAAAGCTAGAAACATAGTACTTTTTCTATTCAGGAAATCCATTTGAATTATGTGTGTCCTTCCAGCTGTAAACAGGCTAATGTAACTGATAATGGCTGCTTTCTATGAACTATAAATGAGTTTCAGTCTTCATTATGTCTGGTAAAATGGACAGTAAACATCTCTGATGCTTAGGGGAGAAATCTGTCACTTGTTCAAGTGTTTTTTTCAAGGTAGGATATAATAGGCAGGTGCAGTAAATTTGATAGCATAGAAAAAAGCCACTTCAGAAATACAAAATGAAGTTTCCCAAGCAATACATTCAGTTACTGTCAACTGTGGTCACAGATGTTACAGCATTTTTTTTTACATACAATATGCAAAACAACAAAGTGATAATATTGAGATTGCCTCTATTTTTTCACTTTTGACTACCCAAACAGCAAGTAAATGACTAGACAAATATATACACATGAATGTGCACTCACATATGCAGAGTTTTGTCAATGAACTTCACTAAACGAAAAACAGCAAGATATTCAAAAATGAGGATATACTGGCAGCTGAGGGGAGGATCCAAGATATGAATGAAGAATAAAATAATTGACATGTAGAGGAAACCATTATCACTGATGATTTGGTCAGGATACTTGAAGGTGCTAGAAAATATTTTGTAGTTTTAAGAGTCACAAGGAGTGAAGAGAAGTTTAATGGCTGTGGAAAAAAAACAAAGTTAGTCTATGCCTTCTATGAGGAATTCATTCCATTTCTTCATGTCAGCAACATATTTGGATGAAAACTGCCAGCCTCTCCTCTCCCATTCCTACTCTATTTAGCTGGATCATGGGTGTTTTGTGGAGCTCAGCTCTGGTTTTCAGGTGTTCTTGTTATTACCAAGATGATGAAACCTGACAAAACAAACAACTTGGGGTTTCTTTCCATTGTTTCCTGGCTAGGACAACTAGGTACTTGGTAAGCAAGTACTGTTATGAATTTATTGCTACCTGAGGCTGTGGGAGCATACTTCACAGGAAAACCTGAACCAAATTCCTGCTGTTGGTGACAATCTTAAGCTTGAGCTAAGAATACATGTGAGTACATTCATGGATGCAACTCAATCTTTCTGTTGCTCATTTTGAAATGGAAAGTTCCAAACTACCTGTGATCACTAAGGATCTCTTGAACTTTTTATGAGATTATGAATTTTAATTTTAACTCCCTGGCTGAAATCCACAGTGCGTAATTACTCTGTGTCAACATATACTCCCTCTGCAGTTTCAATTACTATTTGAAGAATAGTGTGCAAAATAAATGTATGTACACAGGAGACTGAGCTGAGGTTATACATCCAGCTGTAAATGACATTTCTGACTTCGAAGTGATTAACTCTCCATTGCTGAGTTCATTTTTAAAGGAGTGTGCATTTTAATAATGAAGAGGAAAGGAGTATATAAAAGGGCTTGATGTGGATGAAAGAAGGAAGAAAGAATAGCAAAAAATAAGCAGAGTTTATTAAATGAAAGGGAGAACGCCAAATCATTTTCTCAAGACAAGTAAAAAGTACAATGAGTCTCCTGAGTATTGAAAGCAGTCTTTTTAAGTGCATGGAAGACTTCAATAATCAAATTAGAGGAGCATATCAGTTACTACAGTGTCACCTTGTATCAACAGATGACAGATTTGTGGGACCAAAGTCTATTTACAGATAAAAACAAGAAATAAAGACTTTGTAAACTGTATTGAATTGTTTGTTCAAAGAAAAAGACTTCACTCCAAACAAACCTTGATAAAAATCTGGGCAGCCATTAGAATTTCTGATATGAAAAAAAGGTGAATAATGTTTGTGAGAAAGGAGGTGGGCATCATGCAAAGAAAATGCAAAGGCAGGAGGAAAAAACCTGAATAACATGAAGGAAGTACAGTCTTAGCTATTCTTTGAAAGCATATTGCTTCAGCAGGCAGTGGTAGTGGGGAAGCTTGTGAAGTGTTTTGCTTCAGGTGAGCTTCTAACAGTAATTTTAGCAACTCTGATGTATGCTCTGCGTCTGTACTGAGCTAGAGGACAGCATGGAACTCTTGACAGTTTCAGTTTCTTTAGAATATTCTTTGCCCACTTGGGATATGACAGAGTGATACTCCCTGGGCAGAAACTGCAGTTGCCCTTTAATGTTATTACATGAGCCAACAGAAACATGAAGCTTGTCCTCTCTCCCCTGTTCCATTCATTCCTGCTGTTTACCTATGTACAAGCCAAGAATAACCTGTATTGGAGTGCCCATAATGAGAGTTAAGGAAAGTAGCTGATGGCAGCATTTTCATTACAGCTACCTGATTAGGAGGTAGATCAAGGACATAAATCAAAAAAAGGCCAGCAAGAGGGGATTTCATTGAAGCAGGTATAAAATAGAACATGGTAGATAAAAACAATAAAGACTTAAACCGCATTTACAGACAAGTAGGAAATAATGTGGTTTTTTGTTTGTTTGTTTGTTTGTTTTGTTTTGTTTTGTTTTTTAACTGTGCATTTTAATTAGGACTTGGGCCCCTAAATATAGATAGGGAATGGAGAAGCAGGAGCACAGCAAATGACCTCTTGGAATAGCATCAAAATGACAGCTAGAATGAGTGGAATATAAAAAAGAATGAAGAGAAAGCGAAAGGGAAATGGGAAATATTCAAAGACAAATTAAATGTATGCCCAAGGGTCAAGAATGCCATCTAGCAATATGTGGAGAGGTGAAAGCAGGTCACAAAGTGAGAGATGGGATAAATGTGATCCAGGGTACAAGAGAGCCATCTAGCATTTGGCATGAGCAACTTGGGAAACAAAAGAGAACTGAAAATACATGAAATGGGACAACACCAGATAATTGTAAGGGAAATACGAAAGCACTTATTGCTTCATTTAGTTTTACCTCTGTGAAAAAGTTCCAATTCCCCCATGTTATTTTTAATCAATAGAAAGTTCTCTGGATTCTGTAACATATTATACAATCAGTTTGGGAAAAATCCTGAAAAAATAGGAAAGTATTGCATATCAAGGAAATGAAAGCTTCTGTCCCTAGTCTGTTTCTTAAGCACTGTTTCTATATAAGTATCGAACAGATCTTGCTGTGGGATTTACAAAGAATGGATGCATAATTTTGCTGATAAAAATCTGCCCAACCTTCTGATCCCTGTCTACGTCTTTCTCATTCATCCAATAGAAGAAGGATAATTTCTTACTTGATTTTTAGCTCATGAGCACAGATCTTTATCAAAGTTAGCCTAATGTTATCACAGAGGCAAATTATTCAGGGGGATGTTTGACATGTTATAAATGCAACTACAGAAATCCTTCTATGTTTCCTCTGCATATGTGAATTATGTGTTAAAGAATATTGCTTGAACTTAGTATAAAAGCAAATGCTACCTCCTTTAGCAGCTGTCAGGTAAATTAAAAGCAGAGATAAGAAAATCTGCAGAAGCTCTAAGTAAGAGAAAATGCGTTGACAGTAGCTTAAGTTACCATATAGATGATGTAGTACATAAGAATGTAAGTCCTTTTTGTTACTATAAAAGATACCATAAAAAATGCTTAAATTAAAAATTAAAAAAAAAAATAAAAATCTTTCTGTTATGAAACAAGAGTTCTCCCTCCAAATGTTGAACAATAGAATAAGACAGCCGATAATTGTTTTTTTCCTTTTTTCTTTTTTTCTTTTTTTTTTCCTGGCACCTTTAACTGGGTGAGTGATTACATTAATTTATTTTTCTTACCTTTTAGAAAAGACTGGAGGTCTCTGCCCTTATCTTCATTGATTTTGCCTTCCAGAGAAGAAAGAGTCTTGCTTGCATCATTCATGGCAGCAGTAATGTTGTCAACCTTCTTCTGTAGAAAAGTCAGTTTCATCTCCTGGCTGCTAATCTTCTCGTTCATTTTTTGTGTAAGTGCTTGTTCACAAAACAAAATGAGAAGAAGAAAAAAAAAAAAAAAGTAACATTACAAAATTGTGAGGGTAAAAATAAAATGTAATTGACTTGAGAGACATTAGCTGAGAGTGCAGTGAAAAGTTTCTGAATTATTAGCCTGGAGTGAATCATCTTGATTTTTGTCATGTATCATGTATTAGTGACATTCAGCAGCACAGCAGTAAATAATTACTGAAGCATCTGTATCCATTATAAAGCATTTATAATTCCAGAAGAGTACTTTGAATGGTTAGCATATTTTAATCAGCATAATGCCATTCTCCACCTAGCACCCTAAGGGTATTCAGTTAACTCTCATTTACCCTACCTCCTTTAACATAATCACAAAAGCATTGATTTTTACTTTCCATTTATAGCATAACTTCATGAATTTCCAAGGCTTGTTGCTGAAGAAACACATCATATTTTCAGTGTTGGGGTCAAAATAAAGACTTGTTCAACAGAGCAGCAAGGGAAAAAATCAGAAAAACTGCTAATAGATAAATGACTTCAGAATAATTAGTCTGTCACTAAGAAAAGATGTCCAGCCTGTTCAGTCAATTTTTTTCAAAACGTGCCCAAATTTTTCCTGGCATTTGTAGTCTCTTCAGGTGCAAAAAGGCCTATCTGAATGCTTGTAAGATACTGGTAAAGAAGGCCTTGATTTTGCAAACTGAGACTTCATGAAACATCAGCTATCCACCAGAGTTTCACAGCTGACAGGAACGAGACTTAGTCTGAGATTTTCAGGAGATATTGAGAAAATTAAATGATTTAATTCCTGTATGCAAAGCTATAAAATCTCTTCAGGTCCTTCAACAATCGAGTTCAAATGGCCTATACACATACATTATACACATAATATACTACACCACATTATCCAAACTATACCATGACTTAACAAATTGCTATGCATAAGATTCTTAAGCAATACAGATAAATATTTATTACTGCAAATTTACAGTATTGCTATTGATCTTTAGTCACTTTCATTATGGGATTAGTGTCTTTTCTCATGGCAGTACACTTATAATCAGAAATCATGTAGGCACAGGCTTAGTGTAAAATACAGGCTGTAGGCACAGGGTCCTAAAGACTACAACAAGAAAAAGCAAGTTAAAAACCTGAATGTTCTGACTAGAATTTGATTCTTAAATATTCTAATATGTAAAAAAATAAAAAAATAAAAAAAATGTATCATATCTAACTCAATAGCATGTGGGAAAATACAGAGAATTCACCAAATGCATCAAGTCGGTACAGATGAATTGTGCCAAAACCCACAAGAATGCTTTCCTGTAGAGACACTTTGACTGTAAAACTCTTAATAGGTATAGCTTGATGAATAACCTGTTTTAGGTTAGAGTGTTAGCATCTCCAGCTGTTTACTTTCCCACTTGGTGTCCACTTAGACAGAAAACTGTGATTATATCTCAACTAAGTAGTTTAGAGTCTGGCAATTCTCCTCAGCTTTTCTCAGCATCATTGTGGAGACAAGCCATTGGTGGTTCTTTTTGAATGCTCCATGGCATAATACTACTCTCTGACAAAGACAAAAAGACAAGTCTGGATATTTCTGCTCCTTGAAGGAGTATCTCTCTTATTTGAATTACTACCATAATAAACTGAGTTGTTTTCAGTACTGGCTCATGTATAGTCATCAGATCTAATAACTGAATGATAATTAATTTGCAGAGTGCAACACTTTCTTCAGTTACATTTCTGTCAGTCTTACTAAAGGGAGTAGACAAGCTTCAAAAATTAACTTGAAACTGTGGTTTATAAATGCTATAGCAGATGGAAATAGAAGCTGGCTTGTTGAGTTCTGACAGCAGCTTACGGAGTGGCAGACCAGGGTAGTCAAATACTCCTGACCCCAGGTTGTGTTTGCAGAGTTGGCAGCTAGAACAGGTATCTCTTTATACTCTAAACTAATCCTATCAATTAACATGGAGTGCTGAGATTTCAGTTTTAGAGTTATTTTTCAGGCCAGAATTGCTACTAAGAGAAGTGTCTCTATTTAACGCTAGTGATCAGGCTCACTTTTTCATATGGGCCCTCTCTGTACACGCCCATAGAGGAAAACACAGATCAATATGTTCCAAAACCTTATGGCTTAAAATTAACAAATGTGGGCAAAATATGAACATAGTGAGCAAATGAGTAGCGCAATAAGACATGGTCTCAAACATTTGTGGTTTGGAGTGGTATATCGTCCCTGTGTTGCTTAGTTATTTGATCATCATAGATGGAGTAGTTTAAAAAACATCTAAACTGCCTTTGCCAAAGTTCAAAGAGTCACTGTACTGATTTTGAATAACAACAATTTTTTGAGCAACAATTTTTATAAGCAAATACATAACAGAATTGTGTATTCAGGTAATATAATTAACATCACTACATTTTCTTTGAAATTGCAAAGGTAGTCTACACTACTACATTTTTTGTTTGTTTGTTCTTCTGTTAATTCATCTAACTCAGTAATGCAGTGGGTTAAATATTTTTTTTTCTTTTTTTTCTTTTTTTTTCTGGTTTTGGCTTTGTCATGGACACTCTATAGTTCTGTCCTGATTTCAGCTGGGATAGAGTTAATTTTCTTCCTCGGAGGTGGTATGGTGCTGTGTTTTGGACTTAGGATGAGAATAATGTTGATAACACACTGATGTTTTAGTTGTTGCAGTGCTTACACTAAGTCAAAGACTTTTCAGCTTCTCACACTGCCCCACTGTGAAATTAGCTATAAGAACTGACCTGGACCACTGGGGTCCTGTGGAACTCCTGGTGTCCTCTCACTGAGAGTTCTGCTGCTTTCAGCCTGATTGCTGTGTAGAAACAATTGTTGTTCTTGAGCTAAAAGACAGACAAAAAGGAAAGGATGCAAGTGAAATACTGAATGTACCTAAATGAGGATTCTGAATCAATTGCTTTCAAATACAAAACAAAACAATACAAAACAAAAAAACATTGCAGTTTACTCTTCTGCTTAGTACATATGTAACAGAGTGCAGAACCACATATTTATTAACATAGTGAACAGCTTTATAAACGTCTTCCTGACATTGGTGAGGGTTGGTGTTAATACTATAAGGTCAGAACTTGCCCTAGAATGAACAGAACATGGAAATATACAGGGCTAAAAATTCCAGATGAACATTTTAGATCAGTATAAAACAGCAATACAAATACAATACAAAGATTGCTAGCTATAAAATTATCTACTTGCAGCTATAAGATTATTTTTTTCCTAGGTGAAAGGGATAAAAGTAAAGTTTGTTGAAATTATTTTTTAATTATTTTTTATTTTTGGCAGATTACATAAATCTTCAAATTATAATAAGCTTCTCATTAATGTGATGCTTGCAGCACCTAAAAAAAAAATGAAAAAAAAAATTATAAAGCGTAATCAGATTCCAGATTCCAACAACTATTATCTGAGATTTTCAACTGGTACCTACATTAATAATTAAACTGAGGAAGGTTGTAAGTTTGTAAATACTTCCTCTGGTCATGGTAGATGAGGTTTTTCTGTGCTTGTTTTACCTCTCAATCCCAAGATACAAAAGCACTTTGTAAAAAGCTGGACTAACACTACTATTTCAGTACTACTGTTGGGGACACTGTCACCCACAAAACATAGGAAACAGCTGATGGTTCTGGGAAATGAAATGAGATTTCCACCTTCAGGACTTAATTCTCTTTCGATTCACTTTCATTTCATGGTAGTGGGGAAAAAATGAAATATGTACAAAGCAGGTTGTAAACTTGTTAGTGTAAATTCAGACCAATTTTTACATGTTTGGTAAGTTCATGAAGCATTTTGTATTGGCTGTTGTTCCATCTTGAGCACATCTGAGGAATGACACTTTAGCTGATTTGATTTCCAGCCTTTTAGTACAGTAAAAGAAGAACTTGGATACAGCAACATTATTCTCCAGTTCAAATATTAAAACAGCGTACGACCATAATGTGAGTTTCCAGGGAAACAGAACAAAATGCTGAATCAAGAAATTCTCTATTTTCCACCAGCCTTTTTGCAGTGTATATGAGGATCAATAGATTTCATTTAAGTATGAAGTGTTTGAGGTTGTAAATTAATGGGGGAAGTAACAATTAGAATGGGAAAACATCAAAGGAAATTATTAAATGGACTGAAATTTTCATAGAATTTGCTGAAATGGTCTGATAAAAAATACAAAATCCTTAGTAACAATTTCAATAGGTTCTGTTATTTTTCCATGGCATGATTATTGACAGGAGTTAAATACTTGCATTCACCCCAATTCATTACACAGCATTTACCAGTTGCTGATGTGATGATATAATCTATGACAAAGGAGTCAGTTACTTGCGCATGATAAAGACCAGCTGATCGATGTCCTTTTATTCTTTCATTTTACTGATCCTTCTGTTGCTCTAAATGTATTCAGCACCACTGTTACAGATATCAGATTTTTTATACTATCCATCTTATCTTTCATTCTCCCTATTAAATCAAGTGCCTTACATTGAAGAACACCCAAATGCTTACAGTCAGTTTGATTTGCTTTTAGAGTTTCAAGGACATATATGTATTGCTGCATGATTGTTTTACTAATGCTTTGAACTGCTCAGATAGCTTAATCCTTGTAAAACCCAGGACATAGATATCACCCTGTTGGAGTAAACCAGTAATGGAGCAAACCGCTAATGCATTGTACTGCTTCTAACAGCAGCAAGGACCGTAGCCAGCAATTCACACACATACACACACAGAAAACCAACCCAGCTACCAACTGAAAAAATAAATAAATAAATAAATAAATAAATAAATAAATAAATAAATAAATAAATAAAATAGAGAGAGGGAAAAAAAGAATTCCCTGGATTGTACATTTATGGAATTTCATCACTGTATAGGAAAGGCACTTCTCATACAGCCCTAGAAATTCAGGAATTTTATTGGTGAAACAAATTCAGAACAGTCAGTGGCAATATAACTTCCCCTTTATTATTCCTCTAGGCTAGCTCAGCCCTTTTCCAAAGGAACCACTTTGGAATCACAGAGGATCACAAAGTAATTAGGTCTTAGGTGCTGATTGGTCCCACAGCTGAGATCCCCATCCTAGATCCCAAACAGCAGCAGATGGGACAGGAGCACCAAACTGAAATACCAACACACACATTCTGTAGGTTCAACATAGCCATCAAATAACTTGAAATGGGATATGCTATGCTCAGTTTAAGCTAAAATAGAAAATATAAATTCAAAATTAGACTTCCAGTCCACCCTACAGATGCCATTTACAATAAGAAGCTCAAAGAGCTTGGAGGTTCCTAGCACTTCCAAATATCAGGTAACGCACATAGGAATCCAACACTAGGTTCCTGTTGTTGAATATATTGGCCTAGATGTATAATTTTTAAATACATGGAACAAAATTATGTGCAAAATGATTTCAGAGAATATTAAAAATATGAAAATTGTATCTTTTTCTCTCAATATACTTTTGATGGAGCAGGAGTGTTTCAAGAGAAATCCCTGTGGGGAATTAGGTAGTTTCCTCCCACTCCCTCTCAGAGCACTCCTGTGTTTAAAGGTGAATTGCTACCTTTTGTGTCTGAATCTCACCCCACGCTGAGGACGGCACTCACTCCGGTGCAGAACATTTTACAGCCATCTGCTGGAGAAATGACATCGCTACCAGGCAAGAGAATTCAGTGCTAACAATGGCTACTGTATTGTCAGCAATTTCGATAACAAGCCCTTTGCTCTAAACCACAGCCAGGATAGATGGAAACAAATTACCACACATTAAGTTACCTCACTCCAAAGCAAAGCTGAATGCAGCATGACCTATATTTGAAGATGCATTCTCCAGTTCTTGAAGTTATTTGTGACACATCATGTAGTATCCACTAACCTTATGTCCAAAAATGAAATGAGATTTCCCTCCCACCCCAAAACATTACCACAGACAAATTGTTTTCTCTAACTTAAGGATAAATAGTTAAAATAAAGCTGTGCTTAGCAATAATGATACGTCACAAACTGTAATTCAGAACTGACAAGCTCTTTAATTTCAGCAGTTTTGCTCACAGTTAAACATTTGATATTTCTGAATTAAAATACTGTCATTTTGTTTGTTGAATTGTTCGTATTCTGCTGTTCCATGAGATTTATAATAAAGAATTCATGTCTATAGTTTTTCTTTAAACAACAACAACAACCTTTCTTGTAAAGTTGCGCTGTCCATGCTACGCTAGGATACATGTATTACCCAATTTAGGAATGTGTAGCCACCTGGGAAGTAGAGCTGGAAATAGTGATATGAACACCACTTTCTTTCCAGAGGCTCTTCTGTGTCACTCAGTACTGTTACCTACAGAAGTATCTGTAGCCAGTTATAATGAGGATACCAAGTACAGTTTACAAATGTCTAGAAATAGCTGTCAGATGGAAACAAGTTTTTCTGCTGCCTAGAATGTTGTACTGAAATCATTATGTATGGGTTAACTTGGTTTGAGAGGGAAGCTAAAGCACGAGTTTTGAATTAGCGTTTGCTACAACCAATCCACATCACACTAATGGTGCCTTCCCAAGATCCAAAACAAATCATCAGAATACCCCGATTCCCTTAGCACAGAAATCCTTCAATAAATGGTTCTGTTGTTAAGCAGATCAAGCACAGACAGGCCACGTGGAGGCCTCAGGGACTCTGGAGAGCCACTGTCAGAGCTTACAACATCTCTCTCCCTACCACTGTAGAGATAGAGTGCCTGAAGACAGGGCTCTTGGACTCCCAGTTGTTCAAGTTCATTAGCTGATGTCCCTTCATGGGAATTGAATAATACAGGCAGGGCTTGTGCTGGTGGTCTGCCCCTCATGGGAGGGAGGATTCCAGTAGCAGGGAAGAGGAGCATTTCTGACATAACACCTTTCATCCCAGTCTCTTTAAACACTTCTACAAGCATTAATTAATTAAATATCCCAGTGCCCCTGTGAGATAAATGTCATCTCAATTTTCTAGATGGGTAAACTTGGGTATGCAGATTATAAGTGGCTTCCCCAAGTTATTCAGCAAGTCAGAAGAGGCTTGAAAACAGTACCCGGGAGATGTAATTTCAAACCCAGTCCTGTAACACTTGACAATGCATTCCTTTATTCTTGTTTTTACATAGCTACCACTACAAATTGAATTAATAGCTTTTTTTCCTGGTCAGTGCTTCCATGTTGTTTTGATGTCGTTTCCATTTTATCAACTGTATTCTGACCCTTTTATAAGCATTTTTGAAATTTATTTTTGCTAATGTTTGAGTTTTTTAAATGCAAATCTTTAAAACATCTGATCCATGCTCATTGGACAGCCTTGCTGACTGACTGTGTCCCCTGTTAATATCTGACTCCATACTCAGCTACACAGAAGAGAGTTCTGTGCCTGCTGAGGTTCTGGCTCTTCAGCATTAAAATTTCCCTCCTGGATGTGAATAACAGTGATTTCTCTTCATTCCTGTACATTAATTTTTAATCACAACCCCTACTTTACCACTGCTGATTGAATTCCCTACCACATCTAATGGTCTTTCTTGTAATATTCATTCATTTAAAATATGTATGCTGATGCCATATCTTATTTTTCAAGGGCAGCTTGTTTAAGGCCAGCAGCAAAGAAATAGCTATTACACAGATGTTAAACTACAGTCTATTGCCATATGTTTGATCACCAGGGCAGAGGAAAAATGTTCTATTTTATTGAAAAAGGACACAGTTATATATGGATAACATGTAATACTGAGTAAAATTCAGTCACCATTGAACTGAGCAAAATTCCTGCTTGATTCAGAGAGAAACAATGTTGGTACATTATTTTATCATATGTGTGAAACATATTCTTAGATACTGAAACTGAAAGCCAAAGGGTCACAGTGCTGCAGATGAATGCAGTAAGCATTCAATACAGGACCTGGGCTTAATATCCTAGCACTGTAATACTCAATAATTGAAAGGTTGAAAGAAGAGAAGCACTGAATGCAAACTCCATATTTCAGCAAAATGGAATCAGGCTGAAGATTTTGTGAGTTTTAGATGGGAAGAAAGGAAGCGATGTTCTGGTTAAGCTGATCTGGAAATTAGTACAACTCTCACCTACCCATGGATTGGCAGTTTTGCCCACTGTACCCAGGACAGCACTTCCACTCCAGTGATGTTACTATTTTATGCTTAGTTCTGTAGGCCACGTGCGTTGTTGTCTGGGACCTGCAAAACAAAAAACTTTTAAAATCTGTTTTAGGTGACCAAGCAGGAGTTGTAGGATACCTGTACATCAACAATATGTTTTCTTATGTATTGTTTCATTAACCCATTGAAACTGAAAGTGAAGCCTAACTAGGATTTGGTGTTTCAATAGCAATCAGTGTTAGAATTGCATCCTTCAGATCATGTCTACTTAGGGCTGTCAGATTTCTTCCCTGAATATCTTATTCAGAAGTCAAATCTTAATAACTGTTATGTTATTATAATTAATACATACTATACTGGACAGATTGAGTCAAAAATAAAATTGTGAAATCCTGTTTACTTTGAAATCAGTGACAAAAAGCACTTATGATGAATCTATGCCATGCCAGTTCATATTAAGTACATACCAGAAACCTTCCATTCTGATTATTTTTTGTAGGTTTACAGACACATTATTCTGATAAAATATGAAAATTTTCACTCTGTAACTTGCTGAAAGGAGGGTATAGCTATGTAGTTGTGATGCCTCTGTTTTTACTGTAGGTAACTGCAGAGTCAGCGGCAATTTTGTTTCTGTGTTCCATCACATTCTGTATGTCCTGGCTACACCATCACTTTTAGCTTTCTGAAGTTCAGAGAAGTTAGTGTAGAATAAGCATGCTGCAACAGAAAGAAACAAACTACAGCAACTCAACTTGTACTTTTTAAATATAAAGTTTGAATAAAAAGTGTATCAAATGGTTCTGGTAGTTGCTAAACACTACCATGAAGAATACTTCAAATCTCAGAAAATACAAAAATATAATGTCTACAGAACTCTTGGACATACAATCCCTGTCTAAATCATGCCAGAAAGGTGGCATATTTGAAGACTGTCAGACCAAAAAATGCCTTCCCACTGAATTAAAAAAACATGCCATCTTGTTTTATACAGTAGGTAATCTTGTTGGCCTTTCACAAGGAATTCAGTATTGTATATTAACATTTGTATCAACTTTTGGGAGCTTTGCATATGTCCCCAAACAGCTTTGCCTCTGAGAAAAGGCTTTTCAGCTACAAGAACTCAATAAAGATTAAGGTGAACTGAAATCAAGGGATTTCTTCTCAGTTCTTTAACCATATGGATGCTCTTATTTTATGGTACAACTGCTTTGTTCTGCATTAGTATAACTGATTCCTGAAAGCAACCTTAAAAACAAATGTCCCTAAAAGAAGTTAATCAGAAATAGATACTACAAAAATAACTTCCATGTAGAAAAGACCAAGAAGTGTATATAGCAGAGACTTATTTACAGGAACAGCCCCATGAACTCATTTTCCTTAAAAACAAAATAATAATAATAATCAGAGATATTGTGAATCTTCCAGATTGAATTAGAAAAAAAAAAGCTGGCAACATTGCAACCACAGGGCTCATCTCACAGTTTTGTGATGCAATTCATTATATTTCAGAGTTCACAAATCCTAAGGACACTTCTGTTCCAGGTTTCACCTCAAAGCTTTAAGCATGTTCAGTCCTACCACCTAGAGGGCAATTTTCAGAACAAGCTGGTTTGTAAGAAGCTTCTGAAGTTTTTCAAGGGAAGAAATGTATTACAGCCTCTGTTTTGCTGGTGCTATTTCAGGATGCCATTTTCCAGTCTCACGCACTAAAATCAAACTTCGTTTACTATTGAAATCTAATGCGTGAGAATCCAATGAGGCACTCAAATCACAAAGAACAATCTGAATATGTTTAGCAGTTGTTATTTACACATTGCATTCAGGCCAATTACTTTTCTAGGTTCACTGCCTGAGCAACAAAGCTGTGCCACAAATAAGCACCCAGCAAAGATAGTAACAAAAATATTTATGCCATTCAGAGAAAGCCTTTTGCTCCAACAATGCACAAGCCTGGAAAAGAGTTTTTCTGTGCATAAGCACAGAAAAGACTTTCTTTCCCACACATGCTTTAAAGCCTTGTACCTTCTCTTGTAGTACTTCAGAAGAGAGGAGAAGGCACTGGGCTTACTTGAAGGCTTTGAACAGATCAGAGGATGCCAGAGTGAGGGTGTACCAAGCCCATATGGCAGAGCTCAAGGATACTTCCAGTCATGAGCTTTTTCACTATGTTGTTTACTTGCTATGCTTACTTGCTTTACTAGCAACACGTCATGATGAGAACTCGAAACACACTCTCTGCTCCCTCCTGTGGTTGGTGGTTTTTGTTCTGCTTGGTTGGTTGTTTTTTTTTTTTGTTTGCTCATTGTTTTTTGTTGTTTGTTGTTGTTGTTGTTTCGTTTGGTTTGCTTTGCTTTATTTTTTTATTTATTTATTTTGTGTGTGTTTTGTGAATGTGTGGGTGTTTCTTTGTTGTTGTTGTTGTGTTCTGTTTTTAAATTTCTGAAGTTGTGGTTGTATTCATTAGGCATATGTGTCACTCTTAACCTCAAGTACTCTTTGTTCTGTTGTCTACACACCTCTGAGCACAGGATCCAATAAGCCAAGTGCAAGGCTTCGCTCTGCCTGATGAGAAGGTTTCCAGGTTGTCCACTACCACTGTAGGTAATAGTCTGGTATGGACATAAGCACACCAGTTTCTGTAAGAAAGAAAATGTAAATATAATTAAAGTACAAATAACATTTCACACAATATGATATGATACTTAGAGGGGAAGTCAAACTCATAATTTAGGGATAGGATTAAGTTATGAAAATAAAATTTGTTTTCTCTCAGACTGACAGTGTAATCTTAGGCAAATTACTTAGTTTTTGTGCTTCAGCTACTCATTAGCAAAGAAAGCAATCATTTTTAAACCTCTACATCTATTTATATGGTATAACGGATTTTTTATTTGTAAATGTTTGCAGAACACCAAGGCAAAGAAGCCTTTCTGGACTGCAGTAATAACAGATCTTATAATACACCTATATTTCTGACCATAGAATCTGTCTCTCCAGTAGTCAAAGGATTGTTTAACAAGGTTCCTAATCACCTATAGGTTCCATTTTGCAGATAGATATTTCAACTCTTCCTCCCTTTCCCTGGAAATATTGTCAGTACAATTAGACTGTGTTTTTGAGTGCACTTTGAGGTCAAAGACACGCACAACTATATTGTGCCATAGCACTGCCTTTGCCTGTGCCTTTTTTTCCACACCCTTTCCTAGAGGGAAGCTACATATGAAACAACCAAACTGCTAACTGCAGTACAGAATTATGGGAGCTGAAAAGTGTAAGGCCACTTTCCTTTAAAAGTAATTTCAGGTAATATCAGTAATTGCTCTGTCGGACTTCAAGAAGCATGTGGAGAACACTCTCAGACATATGGTTTGATTTTTGGGTGGTTCTGTTTTGACCACAAATGGGTTGGATATGATGATCTTTCTAGTTCACTCAGGATGTTCAGTAATTCTGTACAGGTATGAAGCCTCTTCTATTTCATAGCCGTAGTAAGGGTTCTGCATATTCATACCTGATATTAAAAAACATAATTTTCTCTGAATTGCAGCACTGAGATTTAAATTAAAAAACAAACAAGCAAACAACACAGAAATCTATCAACACATGAATGTCACAGTAAACAATTCTTAATAGATGAATAAAGTGATGCTGGTCCAGACTGGCAGTGTTCTTTTTGGGGCAAGGGGGGGGACCCCTGACTAAAGATGGTGATTTGCTTACGATTTGCTTATGGTTTAAACTCAATATACAAAATATAAACATCTAAGTTTCTGAATAACTTTCAGCAATTAACTGATAGCATATAAAGTCTGATCAGAAGACATCTGAAGTGATAAATACACCTCAGTTCAGTACCACACCTCTTTTACTGTAGCAAGTTATCTGTCTAGAACGTGAGGGACTAAGAGTAAACAGCAGAAAGGTGTCTTACCACATCTACAAATCAAGACCCAAAAATATCTGGGCCGAAGTGGATCATCTCAACCTGCCAGTGCTATGGTTAGGACTTGAGCTCCTGTCTCCCTCTCCTGCACTCTACCCTCACATGCAGACCTGACAGCTCACCAGAGCTGGACTAATAAGAGCAAATACAGCAATGTTGTCAGTGTTGGTCTTTTATGCAGTGTATGTGGAGGTACAGGTTTTAGTAACTGGATTCCATTTCACATCAAAGTAAATCTGATTAATGAAAAGATAAAACAATGAAAACAGGCACAAAAAGCAGCTGCAAAATATATGAAAGTCCTGGAATACAGAGAGGTCAGTTAAAAAAAAAAAAAAATCTACTTTTTAAAATTCATAATGTAAATCCAACAATTATCATTACTATTGAAAGCAGCCAACTTCAACGTAACAGCTACTGGAACATGCCCATTTGGAGATGCCCTCAAGGAAAGATCAGTACAATACATTCCAAACTTAACAGTTAAGGATTGCTGTTTGTTTTTAAAAATAGCCTAAACTCAGTCTCTGATTTCCATCAAAAATTTAACTCAACTTGAACAGATCGTTTCTGTTTAAAATATTTAACTTATTCTTAAGCTCTGTGAGTACAATGGCTCACATGACCCAGCAATCTTTGATCAGGCTAAATTGGAGGAAATATCCACAGAGCCCCTGGTGTGACTTATAATTAGGTTTATGCTACCAATGAAATAAGCTCATTAAGAGATGTTAAGAATGTAAATATAATTTTGAAATCAAATTGTCTGAAAAAATGTAGATTTGAAAATAGAAGGTGAAGCATGGCGGAAGAACTATGACAAGCTGTGTTAATGCAAAGGCAGAATGGAAAACAACTCTTTTGCATAACAGGAACTTAAACCTGAAAATCTTCTTTACTCCATGGAATAATATGTTTCAGATCAGCAACACAAGCTTCTAACATGTAGATTTTATTGAAAGCTGCAGGAGTCTCTTGTTTGTTTTGCATTGGGTCCGATTTCAATCAGGAAAACTGTACTTAAAACCAAAACAACATTTTCACGGTGTACAACAGAAATCCAGCCTGGAGAGTGTAGTGCAAGTCTTGACTGGCATAAAGACAATGTGACAGATTTTATCCTTTTCTGTCATGTGCTGACCAGCAAAGCTCGCTCATAGCAAGGTGTCAAAGAATACCTTTCAGTCCTCAGACTTTTGAAATAGCCTCTTCACTTGTGATATTTGCAGTAGTACTTCCAGCTCAAATACAAATATTGCTATACCAAATATACATCAAGTGCTGTTTGACCCTATCTGAGAAGTTGGGCATAATATGAAGAGCAACATTTTTTTCTTGTGCAAGCAATAATTATGCAAGCTCGACAACTCCAGCTGGCCTGAATCTTGGGGATTTTATGGCCATTGCAAATTCAAGGTCTGTGTAGCTTACAACCTGTGGAGTCTGCACACATAGCTGGAGTAAAATACCTACAATTGACAGTGCAAATGGAACGTAGATGGTGCCTATAAGCCTCTCTTTGCCTTTTGGGATCTTGCATGTTCTGTAAGGCTCATTTGGATCTTGTATTAATACCCTACTGCATAAGTTCTCTTCTCTTTTGCTTACACCACTCCTATTTCTTTTTTCAACAGAGAAAACATTCCTGTGAGGCATTCCTTCCTTTCCACAATTGGTCAGAAAATAGGTTGGAGATAACTGTGAAATAGAAGATTTTTCAGAGCAGTCGTAAGGAAGGGCTGCCCACACTGTGTTTGCTCCATGGCAAGAAGCCCCATGCCCAGGCTACATGAGTTTGTATTAGTATATGTCCTTCTGTCAGCTGGAGAAAAAAAAAAAAAAAAAGAGGGTGGGGGGACAAATTACTGGAGTGTTTCCTTGTGTTTAGCTGACTCATCCTTGGTGATTTACATCAGACTCCAGTTACGAAGCTATACAGCCTGAATTACTGGACATTTTGCAACTTTAATGGGACTCGATTCTCAGCAAAGAGCAACTTCCTTGTCTGTGTCATAAAACCGTGGAGCCTGGGGAGGTCTGCCCTTTGGTGCACAGTTTCTTAATTTACTACGCAGATTTCCAAAGCTTGACTGGAGGGTATATGAAGAAAAACACCCCAGCTGGTCTGAAGCAACTGTATCTCCGTGTCCTTTTACATGTATTTCTGGGCGCTGAATCAGGGGACTGGCAGTCACGCCTGACTGCAAACAAGAGCCCCTAAACTCATTAGTTCTCCGCTGGCGCATTGCCAGCGCTCTTAAAACCCTCTCAATTTTTTAATTTTTTAATTAGCAAAGCCTCTACTCCGCTTCGACAGCAGCCCGGCAGCCCTGCCCGAGCGGCCCGCTGCCGCCAGGAGGCGCTGCGTGAGGCGAGGCGAGGCGGGCGGCGCTGCCGTGAGGCGCCGGCAGGTGGCGGCCGTTGCCCGCAGAGGCGGGAAAGTGGCGGCCGTTAACGCCTCTGCTGAGGGAGGGCAGGGTCTGCTGACAGGAATAGTGGCCAAAGAAGGAAATAAATTTATGTTCGCTTCCAAATCCTGAAGAATGAGAGTGCTCTGACTTCTGTCCCTTTCTCTCTTTTTGTCCTTGAGGATGTGCTCTTCATTCACTTTTTAGGTGAAAATAAATTCTCTGGTTTTGAGAAATTAGGTGATGAGGATACGCTGGCTTGCTGGTAGAGTTATCCAGTCTGTACAAGGATTGCTGTTAATACATTTGCAGTCAGTGGAAATATTTCCGCAGCAGCAGGCTTGGTGTTGGTAAAAGGGGAAGTACAACTTATGCTATCATCGAAAAATGATAATTTCCTGAAAGTGAAAGGGAGAGTGGAAGTTATGAGACTTCAGTGACCCCTTCCATAGCACACTGCTGGTTTCAGCTGTTCCTTGGGTAATTGAACAACAACACACTGCTGGCTAGAGATCAAGTGTAGCTGTACACAATTTCTTCCCTTTGCTTCTAAGCACAGATCATACTTTCAGACAATCCTTGTGAATAGTCCTAAAGCCACACAGAAGGAACACCAGTGGTAGTTGGGACATGAGGGGTAGAGTTTTCGTTCTGTACCTTTCATATGATATCTGAAAATGAGTTATTTTTATCCATAAGTAAATTAGATTACCTGACTTTTAATAGAAATGCTATTGAATCAGCACAGCTGAACATCATTGAATCATGAAAATGAGATTATTGTGTTGCTGAAGGAAGACAGCAGGACACAGAGCTGGAGACACTGTTAAAGCCAGAGCATGGCTTGGTGGCCATGCCTCATTCAGATTATATGCAGCTGATGGGTATTTCATAGAACAGTTAATGAAATACAAATCCCAATTCTACACCTGTTTTCATTTAGTGCCTTCCTTTATACCTAGGCAAGGAGAATGTAGAAAGATGCTATGAGCAGCTATAGTCAGTGCCTTAGAAGGAAAAGGCTGAGGAACTGTGGCATGTTCAGCGGGAGGAAGGAAGGCCTTCAAGGGCACTCAACAGCAGCTCTGCCCCAGCTCCACCCCAGGGACCTACAGGGACCTTATTGAGAGTTTGGACCTAGAGCAATGTGTGGCAGGAGAATGAGAGGAAACCTGCACAAATTCAAACAAGAGATGGTCAGACTGAATGTAAGAAGCTTGCTCCCCACAAGGACAACCATGCATTGGAGCAGGACCTAAAGGTTGTACAGTCACCAACCCTAACA